TCTTCCCAATATGCGTTTTTGCAATTTACATATATGCAAAAACGCATAAAAACGCATGATCGCACCGGCTCGCCTGGTGCGTTCCAGCCTTTGTTCATCCATGGATAGGCGAAATGGTCATTATATGATGCAAATTTGTGTAATAAGCTTTCTTAACTCCTGGTATTTACACTGCAGCTGCTTAAATGAAAATTTTTTCCCCACGAAAAAATTCTTCAAATAACAGGTATTCAAACCAGCAGCAGGTGCTTCAGCCGTTGATATGCTTATTAATACCATATTTATCATATCTGGTGGCCGAAAGTGTTCACATGTCCGGCATTCTTGCGTTAGTAATTCATACCTTTTTTTGCCTGAACAAAAAAAAACACATGGTTAATAAGTAGTTAACTACCTTCCACACGGCATTCAGCAGTGGTTTCCAGTAAGATATTTTAAAATTTTTCCGACCGCGAGAATAAACTAAAGCGTTAACGCAGTAAGCTTAGACTTTGTTCAAGCTTTTGTCAGTTTATACAATAACACACATACAGCACACATATATACATATGTATACGCGTACGAACATACATGCATACATACACACACACACACATCAGCTGTATACAAATACGCATGCGTGCCAGCAAATGCATGCACAGGACAGACATGCACATACACACACACACACACACAAACTCACACGCACGAAGGTAGTCAGAGATTTCATGTGGGGTAGAAATATTCAGCAAACTCAGTTGGTAGTGTTTAGTAGATTTAGTACTCACTGGATTTCACCAAAGTGAATAGATCATCGGATGAGAGTTTTTCTATGTGCAATGCCTAAAATCCAGGATTGGGGCTGTTGAAAGGCAAATTGCTCGATGCTTGCTGCTTCATTTGCAGGATCGTACTTTGTGGGTTAATGATGAAGCCATATCTGGCTGGTAATTTATCAAATCAATCACTAGTCACCACGCGCTATTTCCTCAAAACTCTTTCAACAAGGTAACACTAAGCGACTATTTTGATTAGTGAACTTTTGTGGGGTAGAAGAAATGACCATTTTTCTCGTAAAAAAGTTTTCGAAGTGAGCGGAAAAAGTCCAGTAATCACATAATCTTAGTTTGTAATCAACTTGATTCCTGCTTGCCTTATGCATAATTTGTTGATTCGTTTTCTGAAACAGAAGTTAAATATTTTCTCACTCTGATTCATTAATCTTCTTTTGAATGCAAGCTCAGACCAAAGGTTCGCCATAAAAAAGCTGTAAAACTGGCTTTTTCATGCTTTTCTTGCAAAGATTACGAAATATGTCCACAACATATTCGTCGCATTCGAGTTTTTGCTAGCTCACATTAGCTTATCACAATAACAACTATGCCGACCGCTCCAACAAATGCCATGATTTTCCTGCAAACGAGTTTGTCTTTGCCTGCTTTTTTGAAAGTGTTAATTTCGAGACTGTTTTCAAGAATTTTAGTTGTGAGGCGATAATATTTGTGTTCCTCGGCTTGTCTACGGTATCCAAGAAGCACGACTGGGACTACATCTTCATCACCTCAACACTTCTAGCCTGCTTTATCTGCAGATTCATCGGTGGGTTTGCAACTGCACTAGCTAGGCATCAGTTAAGCTAGAAAAGAATGAGACCGGTGGGCAAGGTTTTCCTTTTTTTTTGAGGTTTGATAGACATTAATACCTCTTTCAGGCATTCTTTCACAGCTGAAAAACACGGTGTTGATGTACATAAGCATGTCTTTGTCTATGTACGTGCAGATATCCGAACAATGCAATAAAATTTCAGCAGCATAGATCTTGTGTAAGATCGAAATCAT